AAGCTAGGGACAGCCTCGAGGAAATGTTGTCAGTTAGTTGTTCCAGCTGTCTTGGTACCAACTGTGTTAAAAATTATCCATGATGCTCCTGCAAGTGCACATCCAGGAAAGGATCGTACACTCCAACAAGGTCGATTGAAATATTTTTGGCCAAAATGGCTAAGGAGATTGCTCATTATGTTGACAGATGTTTAACTTGTTTACAGCACAAGGGACATGTTTCAGGACCTAATCCAATTCAGGTGTACCCAGCAACTAAAGCTCCTTGGGAACGAATATCGATGGATTTATTTGACAAATTTTGCGGAAACAGAGAAAGGGAACAAACATTTGCTTGTAATGGTCGATAATTTTTCACGGTTTTGCGAACTAGTTCCTATCCCGAACAAAACAGCAGAAAACCATAGCCAGCGCATTCCATGACCAAATAATTTGTAGATATAGTATGCCTAAAGTAATCCTTTCAGATAATGGTCCGGAATTCAGTAATAGTATTCTAACTAGCTTGTGTGATTTATATAACATCAAAAAAATGTAGCATCATGCCTTATCATCCGGCAAGTAATGGACTAGCTGAACGTACAACAGGAAAGTGTTAGATGCCTTGAGAGTCACGTTGAATTTGATAACAACAATTGGGATGATTTTATACCCTTAATTCAGTGTGCTATAAATTCTTCAATTAATGTTTCTACTGGTGACACACCTCACGCTATTCTTTATGGTACAGATAAGATCTCCCTAATGAATTGATAACGTACCTCCTACTCCCTTATATAACGTAGATGATTTGTTCAAGTGAAGCGTAGACAAATGCAATTAGTATTCAAGAAAATACGAGAACAACTGTCCAAGAGCAACAGCCGAGTTCACTCTAGCAAGGAATGCACGAGCTAAACCCAATAAAATAACTATTGGATCTGTAGTAATGATACTTAACCAACACAGGTCTGGTCCTATGTACAAGTTAACTAAGAAATTTTTGGGTCCATATAAGGTAATCGAGCTTATTAAAGGTAACAAATACAGACTTAAGAACTTGTTAACAGGAGAGTATATAAATGAGCATTTAGACCACATGAAGTTAGCTAAAATGACTGTTGACGAGACTGATGAGGAAGATGACAATGAACTTACCCAGACAGATACTCCTACTCGGACACCACCTTCTGTGGTTGACAGACCACTTGATGTTCAGCAACCCCATACTAGCAATTATATCTTAGATCTAGACCTCTCGTTTCAACCGTGCACTCACCACACGTCCATTGGCTAGATGTTAACGAGGATATCTCTCAAGATGATAGTTTGTCACATGAAGTTTCATCTGTTCCGGACCTTCAGTCAGAGCCAGAGTTGTATAGTGCTCTGGATGAGCTAGGTGTAGATATCCGCAGAATTTATAATTGAATGCACTCTGTAGTTATTCTGTTTGTTTTGAAAAAAAAAAAAAAAAAAAAAAAAAAAAAAAAAAAAAACTCAATTGCAGTATTTCTACCACATGTGTCTTATTATTACCATTATATATAATGTATAGTTTTTCTCAACTTTATTTTGTTATGAATTAGATGCCATTGTCAAGTCTACTACCATTTGTATTTTTACAGTGCTTGTCATAAGAGTTATTATTGTTCTAGCAACCACATTGTGGCCAGTGAATCCTGACTGCTATCACGCAGATGTTAGTCTTCTTGATCCAGGTCTTGTATATGCTTGTAAATATATTGCACATTATATATATTGTACATTGGTCTTGTAAATATATTGTATATTTCGAAAAAAAAAAAAAAAAAAAAAGAGAAAAAAAAAAAATTATCTATCTTGAAATTCAATTGTGGTTGTTAGGTCAGAACTTTGTTCTATTAATGTAATAATTGTTTAATTTTGTATGGTTTTCAAGCACATGCCATTGACACATGTTAATAATTTTGTTTAGGCAATACCTTGGGTTGTATTGTTCATATCTGATCAGTAGACATACACATGTTCTTAATACTCTGATTTAATCAAAGCATTGTTACCATGATTTTCACCTATTATGATGAATTTTTTTTTTTGGTGCATATATGCCGAGTTGTTTGTATTACGCACACCTGATCTTCTTTCAATGTTTTATTATGCAAATTTCACATGTAAGCCATTATTGTATGCCACCGAGGTCCTTTCAGTATCATTGTAACTATATAGCTAGCCAGAGCTTGTCGACAAGGGACGTCGACTTGGTAGCGTGTCCGAGCGGTGTTATACTCAAATTCTGTCAGTTGAAATGTAACCAATCACAGGCAAGTAGGCCTCTGACGTCTTGCCAGACAGAGGAGCATCAGGCATGCTCCCAGCAGCCTCAGTTATCCTCACAGACCCAGAGTAGGTGGACCTCGGCTGGCCAGTTATACACCTGTTTGCCTCACTCAATAAATATATACAGAAGCGACTACTGTGTCTACATTCAACCCGAACAAGGCAAACGAATAGGAGGGGTACTGTGTTAGACAGGAAGGAGGGGTACCGTTGTTAGACAGGGAGGAGGGGTAACCGTTGTTAGACAGGAAGGAGGGTACCGTTGTTAGACAGGAAGGAGGGGTACCGTTGTTAGACAGGAAGGAGGGGTACCGTTGTTAGACAGGGAGGAGGGTACCGTTGTTAGACAGGGAGGAGGGGTACCGTTGTTAGACAGGGAGGAGGGGTACCGTTGTTAGAAAAAGAAGGAGGGGTTGGTCCGTTGTTAGACAGGAGAGGAGGGGTACCGTTGTTAGACAGGAAGGAGGGGTACCGTTGTTAGACAGGAAGGAGGGGTACCGTTGTTACAGGAAGGAGGGGTACCGTTGTTAGACAGGAAGGAGGTTACCGTTGTTAGACAGGGAGGAGGGTACCGTTATAAAACAGGGAGGAGGGGTATCGTTGTAAAACAGGGAGGAGGGTACCGTTGTTAGACAGGAAGGAGGGGTACCGTGTGTTAGACAGGAAGGAGGGGTACCGTTGTTAGACAGGAAGGAGGGGTACCGTCTTTGTTACAGGAAGGAGGGGTACCGTTGTTAGACAGGAAGGAGGGTACCGTTGTTAGACAGGGAGGAGGGTACCGTTATAAAACAGGGAGGAGGGGGGTATCGTTGTAAAACAGGGAGGAGGTACCGTTGTTAGACAGGAAGGAGGGGTACCGTTGTTAGACAGGAAGGAGGGGTACCGTTGTTAGACAGGAAGGAGGGGTACCGTTGTTAGACAGGAAGGAGGGGTAACCGTTGTTAGACAGGAAGGAGGGGTACCGTGTTAGACAGGAAGGAGGGGTACCGTTGTTAGACAGGAAGGAGGGGTACCGTTGTTAGACAGGAAGGAGGGTACCGTTGTTAGACAGGAAGGAGGGGTACCGTTGTTAGACAGGGAGGAGGGGTACCGTTGTTAGACAGGAAGGAGGGGTACCGTTGTTAGACAGGAAGGAGGGGTACCGTTGTTAGACAGGAAGGAGGGTACCGTTGTTAGACAGGGAGGAGGGTACCGTTGTTAGACAGGGAGGAGGGTACCGTTATAAAACAGGGAGGAGGGGTATCGTTGTAAAACAGGGAGGAGGGTACCGTTGTTAGACAGGAAGGAGGAGTACCGTTGTTAGACAGGAAGGAGGGGTACCGTTGTTAGACAGGGAGGAGGGTACCGTTGTTAGACAGGGAGGAGGGGTACCGTTGTTAGACAGGAAGGAGGGGTACCGTTGTTAGACAGGAAGGAGGTACCGTTGTTAGAACAGGGAAGGGGTACCGTTGTTAGACAGGGAGGAGGGTACCGTTGTTAGCACAGGGAGGAGGGTACCGTTGTTAGACAGGGAGGAGGGTACCGTATAAAACAGGGAGGAGGGTACCGTTGTTAGACAGGAAGGAGGAGTACCGTTGTAAAACAGGGAGGGGTACCGTTGTAAGACACTGAAGAGGGGTACCGTTGTAAAACAGGGAGGAGGGGTACCGTTGTAAAACAGGGAGGAGGGGTACCGTTGTAAGACACTGAAGAGGGGGGTACCGTTGTAAGACACTGAAGAGGGGTACCGTTATAAGACACTGAAGAGGGGTACCGTTGTAAGACATTGAAGAGGGGTACCGTTGTAAGACACTGAAGAGGGGTACCGTTGTAGAACAATGGAGTGGGGTACCGTTGTAAGACAATGAAGAGGGGTACCGTTGTAAGACAATGAAGAGGGGGTACCGTTGTAAGCACTGAAGAGGGGTACCGTTGTAAGACACTGAAGAGGGGTACCGTTGTAAGACACTGAAGGGGGGTACCGTTGTAAGACACCTGAAGAGGGGTACCGTTATAAGACACTGAAGAGGGGTACCGTTGTAAGACACTGAAGAGGGGTACCGTTGTAAGACATTGAAGAGGGGTACCGTTGTAAGACAATGAAGAGGGGTACCATTGTAAAACAGAGACAGGGGGTGGTAGGGGAATATCGTTTTTCTCACATGTCTAACCAGAGGTACCTTACCTGACAGTGTGTGTGGTATGCCTGAGTCTGCTCTGGGGACACAGCTAAGGGGCTCTGCCATATAAACTCTGGCTTGTTACCACTTAAGAGCGCAAAGAGTAATTCTAAATAATTGTTTACAGAACTCTGGACCGGTAACTGTCACATCAATGTTGCCAGAGGTCACTAGTCACTCTTTCAATCATGCATATTATTAATATTGTTTGGTTTTTGCTTGTACAGATAAATATGCAGTGTCAAATAATATGTTTATGTCTGTTTATTACTCGTGAATTGTTTATTAATAAATTGTTAGTAGGGAGATTTAAATAATAGTTTATTTAATATTTAGCAACTCAGAGGTGGGACTCCGAGTGAGGGGGGAGGGGGAGGTAGTTGTTTAATAAAACATATAGTTTTATTTAATCAATCATTCAAAGGATCTCATTTGGCTGGCGTTATTGGTTCTTTACCAAGTTTATGACAGTATTTTAGGATGTGTGTTTTCTTTATCCGCTGGAAATTGGTATATATTGAAAGACTTGAATTTGACTTGAAGTTGAAGAGAGTAAGAATTTTGACCATGTGAGGGCAGTGTTGCGCTGGTCGCGGTGGTGGGTGGAGGTGTCGGCCGGCGCTCCGAGTAAGTGTCCTGCTCTGTTTTAATTTCTGTCATATTAATTGTTATATATTCACAACCCATTAGAGCACGTTATTAATACATTAAGGTGGTGACTGATTCGTATTCTCAGAGAATACTGTTTGCCTTAGAGAGCCTACTCTGGTTTAAAGTGAAAGTTTATATGGCGATTATCTGTTCAAATCAATGTAGCCTAATCTAAGCATTGCCATCAGGTATGATAATATACATTCTTGGTATTTCTATATTACAAGTTACTGTTCATATATCACGCTGTGTTTACTGGTTTGTACCAATGAGTTGATACCTGGTTGATGGGGTTCTGGGAGTTCTTCTACTCCCCAAGCCCGGCCCGAGGCCAGGCTCGACTTGTGAGAGTTTGGTCCACCAGGCTGTTGCTTGCAGCGGCCCGCAGGCCCACAGCCCGGTTGGTCCAAGTATATAACTATAGTGAGTATATATAACTATGACAAGTGGGTATATAACTTGATAAAATAACTGCAGAGCGCTTCATACCTTGGATATAAGTAATTTTGAGGTGCTCTGGTATAAGAAACTTTATTGTCTGTTGTTTCGTGGTGCTGTTTCATTCATTAACTGAAGTTGAAGAACACCGAAGAACTGTGAAGAACACCGAAGAACTGTTAGTAATTTCATTACTAACAGTATACCTGTGCAGTCCCTCTTACAAAGCAAGTCGCTTTTCGCTCGAATGCGCTACGGCCAAAAATTGCCGTACTAGAAAATAGAAATTAATTTTCCAAATGAAATGGCCCCCAAAACAGGAAGTTTTGGGCTCCCTCTGGTAGGTTAGGAGGGCAGGAAGTTCTCCTAAGGTTTCAGAACGTCAGGAAAACTGTTAGTTTAAAGTTTCCTCTCCTAACCTAACAGGCTAAGCCAGAGGACCCAAAACAGAAAACGGGACAGAACGTCACTTTCGCGAGCCGCTTTTCCATTTTTAAGTACGGCAATTTTTGGGCGTAGCGCACATACGAGCGACAAGCGACGCTATTTGTAAGAGAACGGGTGGACCTGTGGATGGTCAAGGGGCTTGGAATGTCTTATAAAGAGTCTTATAAGAGTCTTAATGTCTTATAAGAGTCCGTACACTCTTGGTGTTGATGAGTGGCTGAGCGGTGTTGATGAGTGGCTGAACCGGGACCTTAACCTAGGAATCTAAACAGGCAAAAAGTCGAGAACTGGAACATTGTCATAAAGATCAAGAAAATATATCGCGCTATATTCCCAAGTTAGTATATTGTTGTATTTACTTGTGAACGGACGATAAACGGACGATAAACGGAATCGGGAAACGGAAGACTGGCATTTTTCAGTAATTAGAATCGAGGAGAATTTATTGTGATTTCTTACTCTTTAAAACGATTCTTTAACATTTAATAACAATTTTGTTCTCGTTTTATATAATAACTACAATTATTTATATAATAATTATTAATAGTGAAGTATTTCACTTGCCAAAAAGAAAGAGAATTCAAGCAAGAGAAAGATACTAATGTTTTGACATAACAAGTTAGGAGGTTTGGGTTTCAAATATTATTAATCTTTTCTTATTTACTTATGCTTGTAATATGTAGTCTAAAGATTGCTTTTTTCACTATAACCCAAAAAATGAACTTTGTTTTATTGTAACTACTATCGCAATGTAATTTTACTTGAACACAAAAATTATAATGTAAATTCTGTATAGGATTAATATGTGTGATGAGCAATGTAATCTTTTCAGTGTTTATTATTTGTTTTGTTGATCAAGGATAATACTTTTTGAGTAAAACAGAATCAGCTGTGCATGAATAGAGTTTCTGTTTTAATGTTTACTTTACTTGAAATAAGATTACAAATGTTATTTTTTATTGTATAGTACAATAGAGCATGTATACCCGGATGTATAATGGAATGTTTTCACTTTTTACGTTTCTTCCAGGAGTTTAAGCTTGATTTACAAATTGTTTTTCATTTGTAAATCAGTTGATTATGTTCGTATACTTACCATGCTCATAATGTAAATCGTTAACTATTCCAAACTAAAATATGAACGTTTTCAGAAAAATAAATATCCAACTATATTTCTTAATAGAATCGGAATCGATAATTGTATTGGAATCGATAATCGTATTGGAATCGATAATCGTATCGGAATCGAGACTTTAGCGGAACTGGCATCGGGATCCTAATAGTATGAAATTTTCCATCACTAGTATTTACCCCCATTTTTACACACACATTATAGAGCCTCGCGGCTGAGTGGACAGCGCTTGGGGGGTCGTAGTCCTAATAGCCTGGGTTCGATTCCCGGCGGAGGCGGAAACAAATAGGCAAAGTTTCTTTCAGCTATTTCCTAGTTGGTGCCACCGTCTTGAGCTCAACACCTTGGAGAGTGTGTTGGTCGCCACACCCACACCAGTGTTGAAGGGCTCGGTGTTCTTCCCTCTCTTGTTTACACATTAATTGTCGTTTTAATTTTGAGTTTTTTTTTTAAATGTATTTAGGTTTTATATCTTTTATTTTGAATACAGTTTACGTTAGTTTCTATAATATATATATATATATATATATATATATATAATATATATATATTATATATATATATAAGTATATATTATATATATATATATAATATTGACATTGTTTTGAGTTTTCAGTTGCATATATGCCTGGAGACCGTTCAGGCTTGTTCGCATATATATATATATATATATATAGATGTGTCGTACCTAGTAGCCAGAACTCCACTTCTCAGCCTACTATTCAAGGCCCGATTTGCCTAATAACCAAGTTTTCCTGAATTAATATATTTACAATAATTTTTTTCTTATGAAATGATAAAGCAACCCTTTTCTCTATGTATGAGGTCAATTCTTTTTATTGAGTTAAAATTAACGTAGATATATGACCGAACCTAACCAAACCCTACCTAACCTAACCTAATCTATATTTATAGGTAAGGTTAGGTTAGGTAGCCAAAAAAAGCTAGGTTAGTGAGGTTAGGTAGGTTAGGTAGACGAAAAAACCTTAATTCATGAAAACTTGGCTAATTAGGCAAATCGGGCCTTGAATAGTAGGCTGAGAAGTGCGTTCTGGCTATTAGGTACGACATATATATATTACATATAGTATATATATATATAAGTATATATAATATATATATATATATATATATAATATATATATATATATATAATATATATATATATATATATAGATATATATATATATATATATATATATATATATATATATCTTTTTTTGCAATTTACTACATTCTTTCACCTACTATTCGACTTGATGAAAATCGCGATAACCCACCAAAAAATATATATGAATAATATCCTTGTTGAATGAGAAGAGTGAGCTGAGACACGTTTGTTAATCTCTCCCTCATTTTTCTGGGCCTCAATTTCACCGTCACTTTCTCTGCCTCACATTTTATCACGTTCAATATTAAAAGAAAAATGGCGAACATTCCCTCAGATTTTCCAATCTCTCTCTCGCGTCCTTTTTTAGCACAAAACTGTTGGTCTGTTTCAGAAGTTGGCACTTGAGGGGGGGAGGATCAACACTTATATTGTTGGAATGCTTTCTCAAGCAACACTTTATAGCCTTGAGCAGTTACAGTGGCCAACATCAGCAGGTAACTTTAGTAAAGTTCTGTAATTACTGGTATTGTCCCGGGATTACAGCAAGGAGGCTGGATCTGTTCCCGAGGTGTGTGGGTTGATAAGAGAGCAATTTGTGCAATTTGAAGATGAACTACGAGACTGGTAATTTGGTGAGTGTGCATTGACAGCTCTGGTTGGAACGAAACAGGATTTTAGGAACTGATGCAGCTATTCTGATGGTTTCAGGTCTCGTGTATAGTTGTAAGACGATGGTTAGTTATAAACTAATTGGACACACACACACACACACACACACACACGGCTGGTATATATGTAGCGTCATATATTCGTTGTGAACATTGGGGATCATGGCGGATATACTTACTGTGTGGAGCCTTGCTTGTTATGTCTCTGGAGTTACCAACTTTGTTAATGAAAATAAAATGAATTATTGCAAAAAAACAGAATACATATAACTGCTCATTTGTGTTGATATACATTTCGCGAGTTATCTGATCAAGGAAACTGTAGTTTTGAGTCATTGCTTTTACTTTCATGTTATTTTATTATGCATTATTGTTGTATACATTATGCAATAGTGTTTTATAAATTATGCATTTGTGTTGTATTTATTTCTATTGCTGCGTTTATCGACTGTAAAGTTTTTTTTTTTTTTTTTTTTTTTTTTTTTTTGAGATATATACAAGAGTTGTTACATTCTTGTACAGCCACTAGTACGCGTAGCGTTTCGGGCAAGTCCTTAATCCTATGGTCCCTGGAATACGATCCCCTGCCGCGAAGAATCGTTTTTTCATCCAAGTACACATTTTACTGTTGCGTTAAACAGAGGCTACAGTTAAGGAATTGCGCCCAGTAAATCCTCCCCGGCCAGGATACGAACCCATGACATAGCGCTCGCGGAACGCCAGGCGAGTGTCTTACCACTACACCACGGAGACTGCTATTGATGGAGATTGTTAGTGAAGTGTGGCCCCCCCTGGCACTTGTCACCCCCGCCCCCCCCCCCGGCACTTGTCACCCCCCCCGGCACTTGTCACCCCCCCCCCGGCACTTGTCACCCCCCCCCTGGCACTTTTCACCCCCCCCGAACCCCCCCCCGGCACTTGTCACCCCCCGACCGCCCCCCCCCCCCGGCACTTGTCACCCCGACCCCCCCCCCGGCACTTGTCACCCCGACCCCCCCCCCCCCGGCACTTGTCACCCCGACCCCCCCCGGCACTTGTCACCCCGCCCCCCCCCCGGCACTTGTCACCCCGCCCCCCCCCCGGCACTTGTCACCCCTGTCCCCCCTCCTGGCACTTGTCACCCCCGCCCCCCCCCGGCACTTGTCACCCCGCCCCCCCCGGCACTTGTCACCCCGCCCCC